TTATATCCTAAGAATTAGCAATGTTTTATATATTATATATTCTTAATTTAAATATTATTAAATAAAATGCCTCTTTATCTAAGATGGTTAAATGTTGAGATATATCTTATAGTTTTACACTAAATATAGGCCATTATAGTTTAACGGTATTACGCATATTTCCTAAATATGAATTGGTGGTTCAATTCCATCTAATGGTATCTATAAATAAATGTTTTAAATATTTTGCACATGTAAAAATTATAAATATAATGGTGAAATTTGAACATGATGGTTAATTGTTTACATTAAGTCATCTAACTTGTTCGAATCTTTCATAGCGCTCTCAAGGTTGAACCTATATTAGGATCATTATCAATCTTGTTATAATATATGTAACCTACAGAATTTGTATGTTATTAAATTCTCATTTCTTTATATAAATATTGTTTATATTTATTACGCAAATAACTATATATTAATTTATTACCGCCACAGTATAAAAAATAATTGTTATTAATAGGATTGAGTTGTTTTATGGTTAATACAAAACATGCATATAATTATATGTATTGAGGGTTGAAATATACTCAAATTGTAACCTGTTTATGCATTATATATATAGACACTATATAGCCAGTAAACATTATAGGGCAGAATAGCTAACATTATGTATATAATGTATTGATATATCTATAGAGATGTATCCCGCCTTTAAGAAAGCGGTAACCTATACTTTTAAATATAAAAAATGTTAACAAGAATTTTCTTAAAATTTGCTTATAAATTATATGTAAGCATTATTTCTAATTATGCTTATAAATTATATATTAATATTAGTTCAATCTTATATAGATTAATTAGACATCTATCAGTTAGATATGGTATACATTCTACTGCAGAAATTGATTTAATTGCTCACAATTATAGTGATATATATAGTACAGATTTCATTAAAGCTTTTAAATATGAAGTTAGAAAATCAACACCAACTAAATATTTAGAAGCTTTACTATTTACAGAGAATATTATTATTGATGTTATATTCCTATTTAGGGTTTATAAAACTATAACAACTATTCCTGAATTTCAAAACTTAGGTGATGTTAAATTAGTATTTTTAATCAGCTATAGTGCATCACCATTTGCTATTGGTAAAACAATAATTTTAACAAATAAAACAACTGCTGCTGACTTTGCTAAACATTATATAGAAAGCGTTAAAAATTTAAGTATTAAAGCTTACAATGTTGATAAAGTTGACGTTATTTGGTTTAAAGCCATGTCTGGTGATTATAAATCTACTAAAATCGCTAACAAAGGTAAAGTACAACCTATTTCTAATAAATTGCAATCTATTTCTAAAAGAGCATACTCTACAATTAAACCAACATCAACATCTATAAAAGTTGATAAAGCTTTAGCAAATACATTACATGATTTCGTAATAGAAACAACTCCTTATAAAGATGCTAGACGATATATACTGCCTCTTCAACCTAAAGCTAAACAAATGACTAAAATAGCTGTGTTTGATATTGAAACATTCGTATATAATGAAAAATTATATCCATATGCTATAGGGCTTCAATATATGAAATATAATAAAGTTCATAAAGTTATATATTATTATGAAGATTTATATGGATCTATTGAAAATAATTCTGCAGAGTTATTAGCAAAAATGATTAAATATATGACTGATAATTGTAAATCTTATGTAATCTTTGCCCATAATTTAGGTAAGTTTGATGGAATATTAATGATGTCGCCATTGTTTAAAATTCTTGGACCACACTCACTTGTAATAGGTAAAGATAATAGTATTATTAGTGTAAGATTTCAAGGTATCAAATTATTAGATTCATATAGAATATTCCCAATGTCCTTAAAAGCTTTAGCTAAACAATTTAATGTAAATACACAAAAAGGTGAATTTAATCATGAAATTGTTAATGTTGATAATGTTTTATCAAACAATATTAGAAATGAAGTTTTAGCTTATTTAGAGGGAGATATCTCCAGTTTATATGAATGTATGATATTAGCATCAGATAGCGTGTTTAATAAGTATAATTTTAATGTAACTGATGTTTATAGTGCATCATCATTAGCTATGAGACATTTTAGAACCACATATTTAGATCAAGTTGGAATACCATTAGTGCCTAAACACATAATGGATGATATCTCAGAAGCATATTATGGTGGTATTAGTCAAGTGTATAAAAGTTATGGGAAAGATTTGTATTATTATGATATTAATTCTCTATATCCCTGGGCAATGACACAAGATATGCCATTTGAATATCTGGGTATAGCATACAATCCACCACTTGAAGGATTATTTGGATTTGCATATGCATCAATATATGTTCCAGAAGGGTTAAAATATAAACCATTACCAGTAAGAATAGATGGTTCATTAGCAACACCATCGGGTCATATTCTAGGTGTATATTTCACTGAAGAATTAAAATATGCTGAATCAATAGGATGTATAGTTAATGTTCATAAATGTTATCAGTATTCTAGAAAAGTATTATTTAAAAATTATGTAGAAGATCTATATAAAGAAAAAGTAATAGCTAAAGGATCTGATAGAGTATTTATTAAATTATTGTTAAATGGATTATATGGATTCTTTGCCAGAACAGATGAAAGATACGTGGCATTATTCTTACCATATGAAGAAGCAATAAAACAAGCACAAATATATCCTGCATATAATATCATATTAATGGATGATGATGAAACTGCATTATTAATAAGAGATGTAATACCTTCTAAAGATATTACAGATTTTACAAAACAAAACTATCTTCACGCGTTAGATATAAACCCAAGTTTACGAACAAAATCTAGTAGAGCTATAGCAGCTGCAATTACCGGATATTCTAGAATAAGAATACACCAATTTAAAGATATTTGTGGAGATGTGCTATATTCCGATACAGATTCTATCATAACAGGTAATAAACTAGCAGACAACTATTTAAGTAATGAATTAGGATTCATGAAAGATGAGTGTAAAGGTGTATTAATAAGTGAAGGAATATTTATATCACCTAAATTATATGGTCTAAGACTAGCAACGGGTGAAGAAATAATAAAATCTAGAGGTGTAGAACAAGGAAAGTTAGATTTTAATGATCTAATGGATATACATAAGGGTAAAACTATAAATTATAGTAGAAAACAATTATTTAAATCTCTTGACACTCAAGGAATATTTGAAAGAAAGATAGAAGGTACAGTAGCAATAAATACACCACCAGGGAAAATTGCTATAAAAGATAATAATGGATTAATAATAGGATATAAAGATATTCATAGAAATATTATATCAGCTATTAAAGAGAATCCTTTAGCCTTTAAAATGTCATCTAAAATTAATAAAATTCTAGCCAAAATAAAAAATAAGTTAAGTCTTAAAGATGAATAGAGTAGGGTTCTATTCCATATTAAATTGATATGTTAACACCCCAAGTTTAAGCCAAATAAATATAAGAAAATAGATTTAATCAGGCTATTATTATTAAATATCATCCAATCATCTCTCTAAAGTATTTATCGTGAGAATTTATATGACACATTTTGGAGCCGCCGACATATTTAAATTAAGAATATATAATATATAAAACATTGCTAATTCTTAGGATATAA